ATCATAAGGTCAGCGATGTGACTTCCTAATCCCAGCTATTAGTTCTCTCTCACCCCTTCCCTATCGTGACTAAAGGAAGTGGACCAAAATGAGATTTTTGGGGGGCTATTTTTGCAAGCTCTGTGTATAGGAAAGTTTTAAAATCCAAATTCACATAGCCCCTGACACGTCGGCCTTAAACTGGATTAAAACCTTCTCCAAGGTGGAGAGGATTTCTTTACCTCTTGGCCCCTTCCAGTGCCAAGCAGAGGGTCTTAGATTCAGGCACACTTGATAAACGTTTGGGATGGGGGAACGGATGGAGGGAGGGAGGGAGGGAGGGAGGGAGGGATGTTATACGTCATTTCACGGAGGAAATACCGGGAACAGTTTTTCTGTGAAGTGACTACACGAAAGGAAAAGCACCACGTTTGTCTGCCTTGCCTTGCCTTTACATTGTCAACAAAGCTTAAGTTCACGGTTCATACCTCTTTGTGGAATTTCTGAGGAGGTCGTCTTGATTTTATTTGTTATTTATCTGTGGTTTCAGAGGCTGAGGACATAGAATTCATGACACATTGTCATTACTGGTCTGTGCAAGGTCTTTCCTTTGATTATTTATTTGTTTATTTATTTATTCACTTTTACCTGCTCACTTCTCCATAGATAACCATTGGAATATGTTTAATGATGAATTTTTATTTGTGCCATTTTTAAAAAATGTGGCTTTGTGCACATATTTTTTTTTAAAGATTTTATTTATTTATTTGAGAGAGCGAGAATGAGAGAGCGAGCGAGCACATGAGAGGGGGAGGGTCAGAGGGAGAAGCAGACTCCCTGCCGAGCAGGGAGCCCGATGCGGGACTCGATCCCGGGACTCCAGGATCATGACCTGAGCCGAAGGCAGTCGCTTAACCAACTGAGCCACCCAGGCGCCCTATGCACATATTTTTAATTTACCTGAAGCCAAGTGTGTCGTGTATCTCTTGCTACTTCTTACTCTTTTCACTCAGCACCGCCGTCTTCAGACCCGGACACGCTGTCACGTGTACATCCGTTCCGCTGTTTCTAAGCCCTCCACTGGGTGCATCCACACATTCGACTTGCTGCTGCTCCCTGTGTGTTGTTCCCCTAAGGTATCGCTGGAAGTAACTTGCCAGTTTAACCAAACCTGTTTCCACAGTTTGCAAAAAGGCGACGCACTCGATCTCCTTGACCATGACTGGACGAGGAACGAGCCCCTCGGGGAAGGGAGGTCAAGAAGGGGTCAGCCTGGGTACAGGAGCAGCGCTGTTCCCCGGGTGTCCTTGGCCCCCCGCCTAGCCTCTCTTGTTTTCTCACCTGCAACAGAGTCAATAATCCCTGCCCCACCTATCTCACAGGGCTGATATGAGGCTTAGGGAAACAATAGGTGGAAGAAAAAAAAAAAGTCTTTGAATAGGGTTCCTACCCACATATAAGGAGTCAGCCCTCACGGTCCCTTCTTTAGCTGGCACCCAAGCCCAACAGGTGACTGGAAAAGCAAATGCACCCACCCCCGTGCCACAAAGAAGCATCGCTCCGCTCTCAGGGTTATGCAATCAACGAAGCGTTCCGCCCTGGGCACCCCTCTTGTGTCCCTTTAGTCACACACACCCCCCTCCTCAGTGTGTGACCTTCCTGGGGCTCCTCAGGACTGTGTGCGTCCCCTCGGGCAGTCAGTCCCAACCCCTGCCTCCTCTTGATCTTCTCCAGTCACCATCTCCCTTCCTCGTATGCCTCCCACATTATTTCCATTCCTGTGTTTACTCTACAACCTGGTGTCTGGGAACACAGGCCCCTCCAGGTTTCCATCCCTAGGGACAGGCCGCAAGAGAGAATCCTGGCTGCTTTTGTGACTATTATCTTAAGCACTTTTGCTCAGTCCACTTCCACATCCCCTCCCCAGAAACAACAACAAAAGCCTGGGTTCTATGTCTCCACCAAAACAGTGCCCAAGAATGTACCCAGTGTAGGCGTGGGCACAGTCTGCTAACTCCTTTGTGCAAAGACCAGGAGCAGCTTCCGGGGCGGGGGGCGGGGGGGGGGTGGTCCGCTCTGCTCCAGGCAGAAGGATTTCAGCCAAAACCCACTCAGCAGCTTTTCCTGACCAGCCCCCTCTCTCACTCTTGCTCCCTTCTCGAGAAGCCCTCCCCAGAGGACAGGAGCTCTTCTGGCCTGGATGCTTCCTCTGTACCCCCCAACTCATGTTTGTAGCATGGCCATTCGTATGCAGGATGATTGATGGGTCAGCAGATCCATTTTGTCCTATGAGACTGTGAGCTTCTTGAAGGCGAATGCGGGTCACGTCACTCTGCCCAACACCTGTGAGATAGTAAATTTCTGTTGTCAGAGCCACCTGGTTTGTGGAACTTTGTGAGGGCAATTAATACGGGTGGCGATCATGTCTTTATTTCCTTTTTTTTTTTTTTTTGGCCACTGCATCTATAGAGCTCACTACATATTTACTGATAGTAAAATTTGTACTCTGGAGAACGAAGAGGAGCTGTGGTTCCTGTACTTGAAGCTCTCGTGATGTGATTGAAAACACAGAGAAGGAAGAAGACCATTCAAAGTACGTGCTTGATGCCAGGTCAGAGACATGGGCGGTCAGACTGCTGTGGGTGCCAAGCCCGTAACTCAGAGAGGGTGGGTAGTGCGGGGCAGCCATCCCAGAAATCTCCCATAGCCGGAGCCTTGAAGTAAGAGTTAGTCAAGTGGAGAAAGAGAATTGGAACAAACAGAACAAAACCTAACAGCAAGAGACAACACGGACTATTCGTGGACCTGTGAGATAAGCTGGAGCCTGATCATGAAGGGTTTTGTATGACCTGCTGAGTCTGAGAACCCAAGAGTGAATTTAAATAGGGGAGTGACTTGCATGGTCAGGCATGAGTTCTAGAAATTTCTCTCTGGCAAAGTGAGGCTAGATTACAGGGCGGTATGAGTCATCACCAGGAGGTTCACTGCTCTTTGTGGACATTAGAATTTGTAAGAGATCTTTCTTTATCAGCTCTCAGCCTCAAGGGGAGGCCGCACCCCCAGGGCTGGGTGTGGCCGAGGAAAGCTGGGAAGGTAGATGCATGACCCCGCAGACCAACTCCTCTTTTGTCCTTTTAATGGGCAGTAATATGTCCTCACCAGATGTGTTGGACTACTATTTTTAATTCCAGACAATCCCCACCCTCCTAGAATCTGCCTCTAATTCTTGGAAGTTGGGATAAAACCACATGTTTTTCATCATTCCGCAAAACCGCTAGCTCGAAGCACGTAGTTCTGTGACATTGGGGAAGAAGCTGTGGACATCTGTGTTGTGTTTCTGTTCCCATTTGTATTTCTTTGGTATATTAAAGCAAAATTGCCCCAGGCTATAGAGACCATGAGGGAGAATCAGAGGGCAGACTGGATCCTGAAAGGATACGGTGCCCCAGACAAACCATTCCCCAGTGAGGACAGGAGGCAGAGGAGAGGCTCCAGAGCCCAGGCCATTCCCTTCACTGCATGACACACATATGGGGTCCAATCAAAGTAAAATCTATTTTGGTCCTGTCATCCTGGTCTCATCATTTTTGTCACCTCCCAGAGGACATGTGGTGGCCCTGAACGCTGTGCTTGCGATGGGGAGGATAGCGGGCTAACAGAACTCATCGTGCGGGGCAGGGGAGAAGAGCCCAGCGGCAGGGCCCGCTAGAGGCCGGGGCACGTCTGCACCGGTCGCCATGCCTTCTGCATCCCCCAGCCCTGTTCCAGCCTGGCGCCGGGCCCCGTGGAAGCCAACTGGCCAGGCACGGCCTCAGCACCGCAGGTGTTGGTGCTTACAGTACTCATCTGCCCCTGCAGACCCCAAATGCCGCAGGATTCATGTGCTGACCCTCAGATTACGATAGGGGCTGGCGTTGACATTTGCATCAGCATATGTTAAGGCAGCCCCTGCACGCCTCTGTGGGTCCTCCTTGTGCTGGCCCTTCAGAGGCCCCGCAGGATAGCGGCAGAGCAGGGCGGCCACCAGTTGGGGGGCGGGGGGTAGATCTTAACTGCATGGAATTCCCCTTCTGTTACTGATGTGTTTTGATGGGCTTTCCTTTCGCTTCCTCTTGGAGACTTCTGAGCGTTGTTATTACTGATGCAATGGACACCTGTGTCACTCTAACATGGCTTGCATTGCAGCAATGGGAGGCTTTGTCCCACGCCCAGAGGGGCACCTCACACAGGTGAAAGCAAGCGGAGCCCAGGCAGTGCCACACCCCGCCACCCGTCAGGCCCTGGGAGTCTGCTTTGCCGCAGGAGCTGTTGGAAGTCTCACCCTTGCCCACCTCACAGGACGTTCGGGAGAATTCAGCAAGCCAAGTATTCTAACTCCTGGGAGACTGAAAAGGAAGGGAGAGGGAGAGACGGGGCCCCTGCAGGTCCATTTTATTACTGTTGTCAGGGACAAATATATAAACAATGTATGACAGGAGAGTGTTGCCACAAAAGACTCTCAACTTCAATGTAATAAACTTGCAAAGCGGTTTAAAAAAAAAAAAACTGAATTGCTATCAATATTCCAATTGAGATATTTCACATTAAAAAACAATCAAGATTTCCATATCCTCTTGAATAAGAAGACACGGCAACACTCAGCCCATTTATCTGAGCGTCAGCAACCAGCTCCAGCTTAGAAGCAGCTCTTCCCTTCCAATGGAGCCACGTTCTCCAATCTGCCAGAATCCCACCCGGTCTCTTTGAACGATTCCTATCGCTTGCCTGGCCCCTACAGGCTTTGGAGTTGGCGGGATCGTGCTTACTCAGTGGACCCCAAAGATCCAATCTGGGGAGCGCTGGGCCAAACAAAGCCCATTCTGCTGACATCCAGTCCTCCGCATGGGGTGATGGTCCTGTCTGCTTGCCCTTCCTGCAGAAGGCCGCTCTTAGCTTCCCAGCCCTTATGAGCAACTGCTCAGAGGATCCTACAGCCGCACAGTAAGAGGAACCAGCCACTTACAGTCCAAACAGTACTGTGGGGTTTCAGTGCAACTCGCTCCAAGTCCACATGGAGCCAGGAATCATTTCTGCCCTCTTCGTGCCACCTTCCGTCAGTGCCGCCAAAAAGGGGGCAATGACAGGGCCCCAGCACAGCACACAGTGTTCCATCTGGTTCATGGCGAGGGCCTGTGTAAGTGGGAACAGTCTGCCCCAAAGGCACACTTAAGTTTAATCTCTCTCAGGGAACTCCTGCTTGCAATTTTTAAGGGGTCGGTTTTCCAGATTCTTTCCTATAAAGTTATTAAAAAAAAAAAAGACAAAAAACAGAAGACTTTAGATTTAGCCCCTATTGCCATCATGTCATGTATTCTGGTGTTTGAGTAGATGGCAAGGTGGAGCGTGATGACAAATACTAATACTTCAGACCCCGATAATCAAAGATGGTGGGAGAGGGGATGGCTCCCATAACACTAGAACATCTGGCCTACTCTGGGCTTGAAAGGGACCATGAACGAAGATGTATTTAACTTCCGTTTACATAGATGCACAGTGTGTCGCTCTTGCACGACCTTGAAATATTAGCAAAACCACGAAAAGTTACCAGCTTTGGGAAATCCCATGTCTTCTCTAGTCCCGACTAAGAAGGGCAGGTAGGCTGGGCCACAGGTTCCTGCCCCTCCCCCCCCCCCCCCCCCGAGGTCTATTGGCCTCAAGCATGTGCTGTAGGGAGAAGCACCCCTCCCTCATTTTACAACCTGGCCCAAGGGTAGGCATATAACACAGCAAAAGCTAATATCCTCCCTCCCATTGCCCCCACCCACCTTACCTCCCCACCCTACACAGCTAACACAACAGTGAACCACTTAACTCAAGTGTTCGTCATGGAATGGGATAGGAACTCTCTAATGCACAGAAAATTTTGAATGGCCTGAATTAGAAAATACACCACTCAAATCTTCAGCGTACGATTAGCAAACTGCCTTCCAGACACTGGGGTCATACTGAACTCCTACCACCTAGAAGCTTTAAAGCATTTCTCAGTTCCTCAAGTTTCTAGGCTCAGAAAAACCTCAGGATTTTTTCTCTTACCTGCCAGAGGCCCGCTTTCTGAATTCTGAAGATGAGCCAGTTCACAATAACTCACCACAGGAAAGTCCATCCATGTCAAAGAAGCCCACGTGTGCCCAGATGCACTGTAACACCAATTTTAATTTTCAGACTAAAACAAGATAATCATCTCCAGGGACAGAGCCCAGCCATTTGTCCTAGACACTCATGTGCATGATGTGGGAGCCTCGCGGCTCCGTTAGAAATGTAATTCTGCCCCGGGTGGGGCTATCCAAGCTTTCATGTGAACAGAGGGCTGAAATGGCTATGGGCTTCTTAGCCCCGAAGAGCTTCCATCTGCTAATTCAGCTAAGCAAAGCAAAGCCCTATGCCCTCCTCCTTCTGGAAGGCATACTCTCCAGGGAGCGATAAATGGACTCATTAGAATAGAAGGAAATGGGCAGGATTTATGGGGTGGAGATTGGAGTTCCAGTTCCTTCTCTGCAACTTAATTCTCTACAGCTCACTTTCCTCACCTTTCCGCTCTCCCTAGCCCACGTGAGGCTCAAATGACCAAACGCTGGCGAACAACTCCACTGGAAATTCTCATATGAAGATGGTTAGTAACTAGCACTGAGAATGCACAGAAGTCTCTTGTGAGGTGACTTGTACTGATTCCGCACGTACCAGCTGGGCATACGCATCCTCCTGAGACGTTCATTCTGTGTGTCTGCAGCATGGCTCTCAAGTCCGATCCATGTTTCCAGGGCTAAAAGTCAGACTGAGAAATGATGCATAAACAAAATGTGGTGTGTACACATGCAATGGAATATTATTCAGTCATAAAAAGGAAATAAGTTCTGACCCATGGGACAACATAGAGGAACCTAGAAAACCTGATGCCAAGTGAAAGAAGCCAGTCACAAAAGGACAAAAAGTGTATGATTCCGCACGCTTGAAGGACCTGGAAGAGGCAAATTCTTAGAGACCAAAAGTAGATCAGAGATGACCAGGGGCTAATAGGTGGAGGAATGAGGAGTCACCTTTTCATGGGTACAGAAATGATGACAAAGGAGTCTTAGAAATAGTGGTGATGGTTATACGACCTTGTGAATGTATTTAATGCCACTGCATTGTAAACTTAACAGTGGTTAAAATGGTACATTGTATGTGTATTTTACCATGATAAAAAAACATACAAAAATAAAAATAAATAAGAGGTTGGATGCCTTGGGCCATCGCGTGCCACTTAGGGCCCTTTGGCTAAAAGAAAGACAAGACCATGCTTCCAAAGCTTTTCTATCACTGATCATTTGCAAACTTCCTCTTTTAGTTGGACATCCCCTCCCTGATCATTCCTGCTGACCTTACTCTCAGCTTCTAGTCTCACAGACTGCGGAATGAGTTTGTTCGAAGCCCTCATTTTTGGTTTTAATCAAAATTTTTAAATGATCTTGAAAGCAAAATTGTTATTTAAAGTAAACGGGGGTGGGGTGGGGGGGCTGGGTGGCACAGTCAGTCAAGCGACCAACTCTTGGTTTCCGCTCAGGTCATAATCTCAGCGTTGAAAGATCGAGCCCTGTGTCAGGCTCCATGCTCAGCATGGAGTCTGCTTGAGATTCTCTCTTCCTCTCCCTCTACCCCTCCCCCATGCTCTCTCTCTCTCTCAAATAAATAAATAAATGAATCTTTCTAAAAAAAATTAAATAAAGTAAGCTAAAATACAACCGCAGCTTCAGGGAAACTTCCCTACACATGGTATCCATTCCTAGCCCGTCTGTGATCAGCCTACTTTTATTCTCCTTTTCTCATATTTCGGCAAGTAAGAATAAAATGGCTTTGCTTAAATATAACAACCTAGCCTCTCTTCTGATCTTGTTTACTTCCTTGTATTAGATGGTTTTCTAAAACTTGCCTGGAGGTCCCTCAAGCTGGCTCCGTAACTAGGATGCTTAGAGAATGTCTGTGTTCCTTATAACCACTCGTATCAGATTTGCTTTTTAAGTTTCAGGAGGCAGAAAATCCCTTAAAGATTTTCTTTGTAAATAAAGACCTTTTAAATAGAGCTGATTATCCATTTCACATGAGATGGGGAAGCTTTACCCACGATTAGTGTGCATGGCTTGAAACTGACTCAAGGTCACCAGTTAACCCATGCTGAGAAGAACCTAGTAGGATAAAAATGAAGCGAATGTGGAATGGGCTGTTAACAGATGGTGGTAGTTCCGTTTCGGCGTCAGACATTATTCTGGATGTTTCTGTGAGGGTGTTTTTGGATGTGATTGACATTTAAATGAGTGGACTTTGAGTAGATTGCCCTCTGTAACGTGAGTGGGCCTCCTCCAAAAAGTTGAAGGCCTCACTAGAACAAAAGCTGAACCCTCCCCTCCCTCGCCCAGAGGGAATTCTGCAGCCGACTGGGACTGGAACTGCAGCAGTGGCTCCTTCCTGGGTCTCCAGCCTGCTGGCTCACCCTGCAGATGTGGACTCGCCAGCCTCCATAATCCTGTGAGGTAATCCCTTCGGATACATCTCTTTCTATATATACACACATACTTTTGGTTCTGCTTCTCTAGAGAATCCTGACTAATACACAGATCTAGGGAACAAGTCCTGAGTCCTCTGCTAAAATGTGCTCAATAATTTCAGCAAGTCAGTTAACCTGAGCCTGGATTTCTTCATCCAGAAAACAGAGATTTTTATATTACCTTGAAGGGGCTGGAGAGAATGTATACAAAGCACATGACGTATTGTGAGTGCTAAACAAAGAGTAGCTTTTAAGAGGGAGCATTACAAACATGAAACTAAAGAAACCACTTCTCCTCCCCTTAAGGAGCTGATACCCTTGCCAGAGAGAGAAATAACAATGGAGGTGCTGTGTACCAATACCAAGCAGGTAATGCTACACATTCATGCTCTCGGGTCCGAAGAAAACCGAACACACCGCCCTAAAAAAATGCCACCTTGGCATGAGGACTGTTTTGAGCTAAAGGCAATTAGCTCTCTCCCCTCTCCCTGTCTAAAAGCAGGATGTAAATTTCCATTTATAAAGGTGTGTCCCTCTTCCTACCAAGAAGAGAACTCCCCCAGAGAACTCTTAGCACCTGAGATGACTCTTATCTGCATAACAAATCTTACTAAACAGCCCTATTTACTTTTCCTTCCCTTAACTTCCCATCAATTACCAACAGATGCCCCCAACCCCTTTTCCTTTGTCTAGCCTAAAATGGTATATATGCCCCAAATACTAACACTCCCTCCTTGGGTCACATTTCTTTGTGAACTCCAATGCATCTTTACATAATTAAATCTGTTTCTTTTTTTCTTGTTCATCTGTCTTTTGCCAACTTAATTCACTGGTCCTCCAGCTACTGAGTATAGGAGGGTAGAGAAAAAGGTTTACCTTCCCTACGGTATCATTAAAAATATAGGAGACCTTGCGATTAAGGCTTGGCCCACTCTGAACCGATATTCCCCATCTCCAATCTCAAACCTATTCTTCTCCTCTTGAATTGATGGTATATTGACCTAGAGAAAATGAAGACAAAGATATTTAGGAGGGTAACACTGGCAGCTAATCGGGTAGAATAGCTGGGAAAGTAAGAGTAAAATGATCCGTAATTATGGGTGGATTATAGCCAGTTTATTTTTGTTAGATGTTGAAATTAGATCTGTTGCGTTATATATTCTCTGAGCTTCAGTTTTGCTCAACTATAAAATTCAGTTAGTGGTATGCAGTAGGAACACAGAAAAGCTGGAATCATTGAATAATGGATAGAAGAATGGTTGACAGTCATGTCATCAAAAATTCTTTACCAAACCCTAGGCTAGGTGGTTCCAAGGCAAAGACAGTGGAGTCAACAGAGAATTATATTTTATGTTTTTAAGTTTGTTTATTTATTTATTTAAGTAATCTCTGCACCCAACATGGGGCTCAAACCCATGACCCCAAGGTCAAGAGTCCCATGCTCTTCGGACTGAGCCAGTCACGTGCCCTGAGAATATGTTTTAATGGGATGACAGGGTAAATGGAGAAAGGAGATGGATTCTGGAAAAACTGAAAGAATGTCAGAAATAATGGGGCGCCTGGGTGGCTCAGTCGTTAAGCGTCTGCCTTCAGCTCAGGTCATGATCCCGGGGTCCTGGGATAGAGCCCCGCATCGGGCTCCCTGCTCCGCAGGAAGCCTGCTTCTCCCTCTCCCACTCCCCCTGCTTGCGTTCCCTCTCTCTCTCGCTGTGTCTCTCTCTGTCAAATAAATAAAATCTTAA